AGACAAACCCAAGCCAGGTGTAACATTCAGGCCACACTGTTGAAAGGCTGAGACTTGGAGCTGCAGAGACAGGGGGAGATCATTCCCCATCATTCTCCCAGCTGCCAGAAGCAGGCTGCTTGCCCCTGAACAGCAATGGTAGGAACAGACAAACCCAACCCAGGTGTAACACTCAGGCTGCCCAGGATGGAAACCACCACAGTTCTTCCTTCCTTACCGAGATGGGGTGAAGTTCCTGACACCAACACCTCCTAGAATCCCCTTTTCCCCACTCCCTCCCAGCAACACTGAGCCTGGCAAATACCTGACAGCAATTAATTTTACGTTATTCTGCATTTACGCAAAAATAGAGCAATTCTATATTTATAGAGGTTTATAGCCGGATCCGTGCTGGAGGAGTTATGGAGCGAGGCCGGGAGCTGAGGGTGGTCCGGGCTCCCGAGCAACCGGCTGCTTCTCGTTGGGCAACTCCAACATACAAAATTAAAGGCATTCGTCTCCGTCTGGTTTCTTAAATAGATAAGGGGGGAACGAGTGGACAGTATGTACAGAGGGGCCGTGCTGGCCTCGGCTCTGCCCGGGTCAGTGGGGCCGGCTGCTGGACTCTGAGGGCTGCCGCTGGCGCGGGGGAGTGTAGCCATTCAGGTACCCGTTGCTCTGGCGTTTGCTGAGTCCTCCGTTAAGAATGTCCTGGATGTGCTGCACTATCAGGTTAATGGCCACTGTGAGCAAAAGGGGGAGAGAGAGTGTTAGGATGGATGCAAAGATCAAGCAGAGCTGAGGTAGGGTTGTGGCCCTGCTGTCCCTCCCAATGTTGTCCCCTCCTATTCCCCCCCAGGACTGATCCCTCTGCCACTCAAGCCAGGATAGTCAGGCTGAATCCAGACGGGGTGGTGGGGCTGATCCCAGTCAGGATGGTCAGGCTGAATCCAGCCAGAGCACTCAGGCTCAATCCAGCCAGAGCACTCAGGCTCAATCCAGCCAGGGTGGTCGGGCTGACCCCAGCCAGAACACTCAGGCTGAATCCAGCCAGGACACTCAGGCTGAATCCGGCCAGGACACTCAGGCTGAATCCGGCCAGGACACTCAGGCTGAATCCAGCCAGGATGCCCAGGCTGCTCCCAGCCAGAACACTCAGGCTGAATCCAGCCAGGATGCCCAGGCTGACCCCAGCCAGAACACTCAGGCTGAATCCAGCCAGGATGCCCAGGCTGCTCCCAGCCAGCATGATCAGGCTGAATCCAGCCAGGATGCCCAGGCTGACCCCAGCCAGAACACTCAGGCTGAATCCCCAGCCAGGATGCCCAGGCTGCTCCCAGCCAGCATGGTCAGGCTGAATCCAGCCAGAGCACTCAGGCTCAATCCAGCCAGGGTGGTCGGGCTGACCCCAGCCAAAACACTCAGGCTGAATCCAGCCAGGACACTCTGGCTGATTCCAGCCAGGATGCCCAGGATGATTCCAGCCAGGGTGGTCAGGCTGACCCCAGCCAGGACACTCAGGCTGACCCCAGCCAGGACACTCAGGCTGACCCCAGCCTGGCTGACCCAGCTGCACATTGCCTTTTGTATGGGATGAACCAAGAGCTAGCCTGGAGGCATTAGAAGAACACAAACTCCTAGTCAATAATGCTCCAAGCAGGAGCAAAGGGAACAGGCTCATCTTGGCACACCTGTGGTAGCAGCACTCTCTTGGCAGTGCTGCTCTCAGGCAGTGGCCTGAGTCCCCTCTGGGACAGCTCCATCCTAACTCCACTGCAGCAGCAACAGCCCAAGTCTGGCTGCCAGGGCAGAGCAGCAGGGCCTGGTGCTTACCTTCATTATCTGCTCCTCTGGGAATGATCACATCAGCGTATTTCTTGGTCTGGGAGGAGAGAGAGAGCACTTTGTTACAGGGAAAAAGTGGAGAGACAGCGGGCTGGGGCATTGTCCTTGCTCCCTGGGGCAGCTCCTTGCCCTCCCCAGACCCTCTGGGAGGGATGTCATTGCTGATAATACATTTTGGACGCTCTTATTTGTGTTCTGCTGTGTTTCAAGGGCCATCCTTTGTGCCCTGACTCCATTTTCATGAGCTCATACAGAAGCCAGTAAGAGGCACCCTGAGCAAAACCTGCAATTAAGAAGCCTCATAATCACAGGACTCCAGCAGCTGATGCTCTTGGGAACACCATTCCCCCTGAATCCACCCCAGACTTGCTCTAAGAGCACGAGCTGGCATGCTTGGGCACAGCCACCAGATCTGCCTGGGAAGGGGGGAGAATTCTCTACCACACCACTTGCAGAGGTGTGATTCAGGACACCAATCCTGACCTAGATTCCCCTGCAGGTGCCAGTCTCAGTCTCCTCCTCATCTGTGGCAGTTTTACAGCTGACAGTCAAGCCCCACCAAGCCAGCTGGGCTGATGGGTGACACCTGACACCTCCATGTGCTTCCAGACATATCAAAAACCACCAGGATATGCTGGACCATTTCAGTACTTGGCTCAGAGCTGCTTTAGGAGTCAAATAACAGCAGCAGTGGGTGCTGAGCCAACACCAGGTTGGAAGTGGGAGCAGACCACTGCAAAGCTGTGGGTAGAAACAAGGCAGTTCTGTGCCCTCCTTGTTTCACACTTCATTCTCCTACAGACTCTTCATCAGAAGAGCCTGATGCAGCATCTGCTGCTCTGAAAAACTGTGGATTTAGAAGAGGAGCCTTGCAAGCTGGACCTGCCTCTCAGGAAAAGCCTTTCTGGGCTTTGGAATTGGTCCCCAGAGCCACAGCTAAGTGAGACTGAAAAAAGAGAGCTGTGCAAGAGCCAGGAAAAGATCTTGCAGCACAGAATGAGCCCCTCTAAAGGTAAGGGGCAGAGCTGACCAGACAGACAGGCATAGGGATGCTCCCAAGGTGGGAGGCACAGTTGAATTCCTGCCTGTGGTGCTGGCCAGCAGTTCCCAGGTTTCAGGACTCTGCTTGCTCACTTCCTCCAGAACTAAAAAATAATCCTCATGTAAAAATATAAAAATCTTCATTACCACATCTGCTTGAGAAGCCTTGAGAAACAAGGCACAGGCTGCTCTCCATGAGAGCCAGGAAAGGTGTACAATGGCTGATCTGCAAACATGTTATTTCCATGCAATCCTGCAGTAAATTCCCCCACACAGTCCCTGCCTGCCAGGCAGCCTTGGCTCTGTTATCAGCTCCCAAAGGAGTTTCCTTTCTCCAGGCAGGCCTTGTCCCCCTGGCCACTCAACAGCCACATCCCACTGCACAGGCAGAAGGAAGAAGCTGCCCTGCTCTCCCAAGAACCAAGGCAGCAGCACTGCAGGGTGAAAAGGGCAGGCAGCACAGCCCAAAACAGGAGGCAGACACAGCAAACACTGCCTGGGGGCAGAGACCTCCCATTCCCCAGCTAAATACAGCCAGGGATCCTCCCTGCCAGGCTGAGCTGCCCAGAGGTTTGTCAGCCTTTGCCCAGGGAGGGATTCCTCTGGCCATGCTGCCTTCCCAAAGGGAAGGGTGATCTCACCGGGAAGGCAGTGGCCATATAAACAGCCCCCATCACAGCCTGCCCTGGCTGCAGAGAGAGAGGAAGGCACAGGGGGCAGATCTGAGCCCTGGGCAGGCACAGAGTGCTCCTGTTGCAGCACTCTCACGGTGCACTCCCCTGACTCACCGGCAGGCAGAACTCCTCGAAGGCAGGCTTGACAAAGGTGATGTACTGAGACAGGATCTGCTCCAGGTCCCTGCCTCGCTCGCTGATGTCTCGGAGCACTGAGGGGAAGGTGGAAGGCACAGTCAGGAGCTGAGGCACAACTCTCTCCACCCCCTTTCCCTTCACTAAGTACAGCCTTTGGATATTTCCCCTGAGATCTCTGTTCCTGCAAGCTGCTGTCCATGTGTCTGAGCACATCCCAGCCCAGCTCCTTCCAAGTCTTCCTGGGAGCCAAGGGCTGCCTGACCTGGCCAAGGGCTTTTCTTGGCCCCCTTTTCAGCTCTGCATGCACATTCCAGCTGTAACCAGTCAGCCCAGTCCTGAGTGCTCCCAGCCTCAGCCTTGCCTCCCCCCTGTCACTCTGCCCTGCCTGTCTCTGCCATCCCAGTGCAGAGGTGCCCAAAAAGTAGAAAATCAGTGGGGTTCAGCCACACACACATTAAGGCACAGTTTAACTCAAATCTGCAGAGGTGGAGAGAATAAAACCCACCCACCTGCACAGTTCTGCCAGGCTCCTTGTGCTGTCCCCAGCTAGCAGGAGAAGCAGAGGCGAGGGGGTCAGCTCAGGAGGAAGCCCAAAGGCAGGAGAGCAAGCTGGCCTCCTGCTTGTTCTGCCACTCAGGCCTTCCACCCTGCTTGCATAAGCTGTTTGGGCCAGTGCCATCTCCAGTCTGACACCACTTCAGTGTGGACAAGTGGCCCAGTTCAGCAGGAATTCAAGCCTCAGGGAAGAGCCAAAGCAGCCCTGTGGCTGAGCAGACAGCTCTTGGCTGTCCCCAGGGGGCTGCTGGCTTTCCCCCAGCATGCGAGTGCCTGGCACTGGCTTTGGAATGAGCCTTCCCTCGTGTCCCAGGCAGAGCCAAGGCACAGCACTGCCCTGCCAGCCTGCCTGACCTGCTGGGCAGCACTGCCTGTGTGCTCTCAGGGCCAGGACACTGCTCTGGCACTGCCCCCGTGGCTCTGTTTGTCCTTGGCCAGCAGCTTCACAGTGTGGCCTTTCACAGCCCTGCAGGGGGAAGTGATGGGGGAAAGGGCTGGCAGCAGGATGGGAACCAGCAGCAGCTTCTCCAGAGAGCAGGAGCGAGCCCCAGCTTGAACAACAGAAAAAGAGGCAGGGAAAATATAACATTCTTGTTTCTCAGCTCCCACACTTTATTTGCTGGGGTGCAGGAGGCCTGTGAGCTGGGCAGAGCCTGGTCCTGACAGGGCAAAGCTCTCCTGCTTCTTCCCAGGGCAGGACAACCACCTCACACACAAACACAGGTCAAACACCCGCTGCTGTACCTGACCCCAAAGCAGCAGGCCCCAGGTAAAACCACACACCCTGTCCTGAGCGATTGCTGGCAGGGCAGGCAAACATCCCAAGGACAGACTGGCACCTCTCTGAAGCCAGTAGGTCCAAACTCAAACTGGACCCAAAACATGCATGTGACCTGGTTTCTTTTTTAGGGAAACTGGCCAAGGACAGGGCAGTGAGGGAGGTTAGCCACAATGAGGTCCCTAAGCCCCATGGATCCCTGTCTGAGGCACCTGGCAGAGCTTGCCCCTTGCACTCTGCTAGCAGAACTTCTGAGGTGGGCACAGTGTGAGCTGCACACACTGAACCCCAGCACTGCTGATTAACTGAGCTGTCAGCTGCACTTCCAGGAACCTCAGCTCCTGCTGCTGCCCAGCTGAAAACCCAAGTCTGCAACCCTTTAGGGCTTCTGGGACACAAAGATGACTCAGGGCCACATCACAACACAAGATCCCAACTTTGGTGATGAGTTGCCTCCAGCCACGTTCCAGGGACATGATTATACCTTTGGCACCTCTCACACAGGCTCTCCTTTCCCAGAAAGGCAGACAGGCAGACATGCAGTAAACAGATTTGATGCTGCAGTGGTCCTACCAACTGCTGATGGCAGGGAAATGGGCAGATTCCTAGCAGGAGAACAATGAGCTGCAGTAACCAGGAGACAGCAGCACCTCCATCAGCAAAGCTGCCCTTTTTCAAGTGGTTGATGGTGGGTGGGAAAAGTACAAGGCTCACAAGAGCAGTGTGAACACAGCAGTGACCCCACAACTCCACACCACCTTCTCCTGTCCTGAATGACCACTAGGACAGATGGAGCCCAAAGTCAGGGGCTAAATTAATTCAGTGGACACTCAGATCTGTTACAGGGGCATTCCATAAAATAGAGGATTGATATTTGTATGAAACACCAAAGGTGAGGAATGAGAATGGACTGGAGAGTGTGGGGCCTGAGCATGATTTAAGTGGTTTGGAATAAGGGCTGGAGAATGTGCTGGTTTTGGTGGGGAGAGAGTTAAATTTCCTCACAGTGGCTGGTGTGGGGCTGTGTTTTGGATTTGTGCTGAAAACAGCACAGATAACACAGGGATGTTTTTGTTATTGCTGAGCACTGCTCACACAGATCCAAGGCCTTTGCTGCTCCTCACCCCACCCCACAGTGGGGGAAGGGACACAGCTGGGACAGCTGACCCTGACTGACCCAAACCATGTCCCACATGATGATAGAAAGCTGGGGAAGAAGGAGGAAGGTGAGAGGAGACATTCAAAGTGATGGCACTTGTCTTCCCACATACCCATCACACACCATGGTGCCCTGCTTTCCTGGGGATGGCTGAACACCTGCCTGCCCACGGGAAGTGGTGACAAATTCCTCCTTTTGCTTGCCTTGTGGCTTTTGCTTTACTTCATAAACTGTCTTTGTCTCAGCCCACAACTTTTCTCACTCTTACCCTTCTGATTCTCCCCCAGCAGAGGAGGTTGAGCAGGGAGCTGTGTGGGGCTGAGCTGCTGGCTGGGGTCACTGTCACCACCACAGTGTCTTACCCTGTGGCTGAGTGTAGCCCTGAGCTCCTGCACAGCATTTTAAAGGATTAGGGCTCACATTTTGGGACCCTGCATATCTCACATCTCCCTGCAAGTGACTGTGCTGTCACCTCCCTGGGTGAGTCATGCAAGAACAGTGGGCAGGGTCAAGAGGGATTGCTAAAAAGGAGAAGTTCATCAGTGCTGATGACATCCCGGCAGCTGAGGAGGCTCTGCATGTGTCTGACAGCAGGAGGGCAGGCAAGACCAGCTCCACTGCAGAGTGGAACATGCATACACAGTCCCAGAGTGACGCACTGAGATGCGCTCCCCTCGTCACAGCGCAGAGCTCTGGCAGGGACTGCTCCTCTTCAGTCATCTTCTGCATCCCCAGGCACCCTGTGGAGCCTGTTAGAGCCAGCCAGGGGTAGCAATAGTTCAGACAGAAGTGAATTCTGCCCCAGGAGTCCCCAGATGATTTTTTAGTCACCCGGGAGGTGCTGCAACAGTGACCCACCCCTCAAAGCTGCTTAGAAACAAAGGACATCTCAAGTCATGCAGGCCCTGCAGTGTGGGTGTCCCTCCCCATGTCAGCTGGCACCCCACAGCCAAGCCAGCAGGACTGGGGAGTCCTGGAGAGGGACACTTTGGTTTCTAGGGCTCTTTGCCCCCAAAGCCACATCCCACACAGAGGCTGCACAAATGTACAACCGGACTCCCCATGTGCAGCACCCCCAGTGGACACCATGGCCCAAATGCCATCCTCAGAGCACACCCACAGCCCAGGTCCTGAGTGGATCTATCAGGCTCTGACTGAGCTGCCCAGATGCTCTGCTGTGCCCTCTCTTCCCTGCTGGCATCTGCTGACTGGCAGCAGCTGCTGCTCAGCTGCTGGCACTGGGCTGGTGCCACGGGGCCGTGCGAGGACACGGCACACTCAGCACTCATCAAAGGAGGAATCCCAGCCAAGGCAGCAAAAATCCCACTGAATCCCAAGAGACACACACAGAGCAAGCCACAAGCTGCCCTAGTGACACTCTGCACTGGGCAGGAAAAGCTCCACAGCTCTTCACAGCTTTGTGCCAGCTCTGCTCTGCTCACTGTCACTGCCTGTGTGCCCAGAGCAGTCAGGGGCATTGGTGTCCCTGCTCACTGTGTGCCCAGAGCAGTCAGGGACATTGGTGTCCCTGCTCACTGTCAGTGCCTGTGTGCCCACAGCAGTCAGGGGCATTGGTGTCCCTGCTCACTGTGTGCCCAGAGCAGTTAGGGGCATTGGTGTCCCTGCTCACTGTGTGTTCAGAGCAGTCAGGGGCATTGGTGTCCCTGCTCACTGCCACTGCCTGTGTGCCCAGAGCAGTTAAGGGCATTGGTGTCCCTGCTCACTGCCAC